TACGAGTCCATTATACGGTTCTGAAGGGAAGAACCCGAAACCCTAAACCCTAAACCCTATAAGCCTGCCATTCATCCGAGAGGGCCAGGGCTTAGGGGATGAATCAAGGTCTTGCTTGGGATGTCTCCCGTTATACTGACAGTCCTGAATAGGGATTATGATAGGGGGCGGAGGGTTTAGGGTTTAGGGTTTAGGGTTTAGGGTTTAGGGTTTAGGGACTGTTCGTAGAAGGGGGAACATTCTGTTCCCAAGTCTTGGCTCTAGAATCCCGAACCAGCCAGCCAGCCCCCCCTAAACCCTAAACCCTAAACCCTAAACCCTTTTTTTAAACCCTAAACCCTAAACCCTAAACCCTAAACCCCCCCCCGTCAAACCATTGCAGAGGCAAGTCTCGCCCCTGAGTAGGCGAAGCTTCCCATAACCCGAAGGGCTGGTCTGTTCCTTTGGAGCGGATTTGAAGGCTCAAAAAAAAACCGCAAACAAAATCCTAGTGTCAACAGAGGGGTCGGAATAACTACTCATGATTTTCCCTTATGGTCCCTGTATTCATATACTACAATATGTACACTCCCCAACCCTGTTCTAATCACTAAGGCCCTCATATTATAGGGCTATGGAGGGAGTAGAACCCGTGGAGCTTGAAAAGTTAATACCACATCAACCCCAGCAAGTCCGGAACCCTGAGCCCTGAGCCCTGAGCCCTAAAGCCTAAAGCCTAAAGCCTAAAGCCTAAAGCCTAAAGCCTAAAGCCTAAAGCCTAAAGCCTAAAGCCTAAACCCGAACCCTAAGCAAATGACTGCTTGCTGGCCGAGGGTTGTGTGTTCGAGTCATTGCCTAAACCCTAAACCCTAAACCCTAAACCCGAAACCCGAAGCCCAAAACCCAAAACCCCAAGCCCTAAAACCTACCCACCAGGGGCAAAGCGTGACAGCTGCAAGGGAAGCGCCCCCAGCGAGATGCGTGAGGCGAGGTGTCACTTAAGCCCCGGCCTGGCCTGATATTCGGAGTGTTTTGGGGTACGGGACTTGCCTTTTTGATCACTTGCTTGCCTGAGGCTTGAAGTTAATATACCCTAAACCCTAAACCCTACCCTAAACCCTACACTCTAAACCCTAAACCCTAAACCCTAAACCCTATACCCTAAACCCTAAGTGAGTTCATGGGGTGCCCACCCTCCCCCGGCCCCCTCCCCCTCCCCCTCCCCCCCATTTTCGAGAGGAGGGGAAGCAAACAAAAACACCCAAACCTTGCCTGCGCTGCCTAAAGGGCGTAGGGTTGAGAGTTTAGAGGTTTAGCGTTTAGGGAGTAGACCCAACCCGCCCGATTTCAATCTCAATCTCAATCTCACTCTCTCTCTCTCTCTCTCTCTCAGCCGAAATTCCCCCCCTAAGCCCCAAAGTAGTTTTTGGTTGTCTTTGCCCCAACACCTGGCCTTTAGAGCCTAACTTCCGAGCTATAGCACCCAAAACCCTAGACCATCTCCCTCTCTCCCTCTCTCCCTCCCTCCCTCCCTCTCTCTCTCTCTCTTCTTCTTCTTCTTCTTCTCCTTCTTCTTCTTCTTCTACGGGGCTTGAGGAACCCCGGAGGGCCCCCCGCGCACTGGGCTCTCTCTCTCTCTCTCTCTCTCTCTCTCTCTCTCTCTCTCTCTCTCTCTCTCTCAAGAAACCCTAAACCCTAAAACCCAAACCCTAAACCCCCTGTAAACCTTGAATCCTAACTTCCTTGTTGCAACCTCAGCCCCTACTTCGTGGGCCTTATGGCGCCCCCTAAACCCTAAACCCGAACCCCTAAACCCCGTTTGATAAATTGGGTTTGGAGGCTTTGTAGGTTTAGGTCTAGGGTACTCTGAAAATACCGAAGACTCACAGCTTTTGGGGGTGTCTTGGGTATTTCGGTTGGGGGAAGTCTTGGTGCTGCCCATCTTGCCCCAAACTATCCCAAACCCTAATGTGAGAGTCGCTTTTTTAATTGGGGTGGTAATAGTAATATTCGCCGGGCCAGAGGGCCCCAGCCGAAGACTACTTTCCATTACGGGAGGATTTCGGGCCGATGTATGTAAACAAGTCTATATAGGGGGGTCCGGTGATAATAATAATAATAATAATAATAATATTGGGGTGGTATTTGTAAATTTTTTCCGGCCAGGAATTGAAAATTTTACTGAAAATGGCTTAAGAGTTCCATTGCAGAGAAGACTTTTGCAGCAGAGCAGGACAGCACACAGACCAAGTCGGGCCGGCAGAGCAAAAAGAGCTGCAGAGAGCAAGCAGAAGCCGTCAAGACAAAGCAAAGCAGACCCTGACAGCTGACCCCCCGCGACCCCCAGACCCCAGACCCCCAGAATCCTCATAATTGACACCCCGCATTTTTCCACCCCTCCAAACTCCGGGGACCAAAACAAGATTGGGGGGAACATTACACCCCAAAAAACCCATAAACCCTAAACCCCAAACCCTGAACCTTAAACCCTAAACCCCAAACCCTGAACCCCAAACCCCGTACCCTGCACTTAAGGGCCAATGCAAGGATCTGGCTCCCCGCGGCGGGCTGGCGAACCACGCCCTCCGGAACAACGCTGAGGGTTTAGGGTTTGAGGGTTTAGGGTTTGGGGTTTAGAGTTTAGGGCTAGGGTGGTTTAGGGTTTAGGGGTTTAGGGGTTTAGGGTTGAAGGGCTTCAGGGCTTAAGAGTAAACAAGCACCGGGTTCCGGGTCCAAGGTTCGCGCGCGCGCACATGCATTACATAAGTCACAGTCGCTACCAGTTGCCACTGAACACACCCTAAACCCGAAACCCTACCCCCTAAACCCTAAATCCTAAACCCCAAACTCGACCCTACAAATCAGAAGGCGCCCAGTTTCTGTTTCAGGGATTTCAATCAAATCCTAAACCACAAACCCTAAGCACAGTGCCCAACTGGCAGCGGCAAGAGTCGCTATCGCACAAGACCCCACCAACAACCGAAACCCTTACTTGGAAGCTCCTTTGTCTTCGTTTGTCTACCTTGTCCACATAAACCCACCTTACTTACCCTACTAACTAAAGTCAACAGGTCTTCCAAGCACTGGTTCATTGAAGGCGCTTGCTTTTTTTGCCACCCGCCTGGTGTCTGCACCGTGGCCCCTTAAGAGGTTTCTGGAAATACTCTTGCATCATTCCTCTTGAACCAAATAAGGTGACATGTACATCACAAAATGCCCCAAGAGCCTACCCAGAAACTCGTATCGACTCGCGGAGATGCTAGGTTCTGTTGTTGGGAAAATCGCTGAGCGACATGGCGGCCCTCGCTTCCGGCCTACACTGGGGACCCAAACAGTAACAAACCCGGTGAACCCCCCAACTAGAATGTCAGAACCCCCAACTTTAGGTATTTTAGGGTTTAGGGTTTAGGATTTAGGGTTTAGGGTTCAGGAGAAGGGGGCCAAAGCCTGGCACCCAGCGTGGCTGAGATCATTAGCAGGTTTTACCTGCCATCTCACCAGTTGTAGGGTCCCAACAACCATAGCAAACACCGTGCTTGTGTGGCTGGCTCATATCTGAGCAAGATCTTTTTGCATCCGGGCGAACTCTAAAATGCTTGGAGGTTTCTAACGTTGGACCTGGAGCTCACGGAAACTGTCGCTGACGACATGGAGTCAACAAGTGCCTAGATGCATCGCGCGTGAGAGCGTGCACACGCTGGTTTAAAAATGTCGCGGAGCACAGCAGAAAGTAGATCTTTGTGTCAAGTTCCAGCTGCAATCCAAAGTAGTTGCTTCACCGGGGGGCGAGCGTCATCACAGCTTATTGAGACAGAGATAGCAATTCAGAACGAACTGCACTCAACGTTAGCGAATAAAGCCCTTGAGATCGTTTCAAAGAGTTCTCGAAGTTCTCGATGTTCTCGAGGACTTGCTGTTAAAGAGTTTGCAGCGCTGCACAGCGATGGCGATGACACCGACCGCGTAACCTAATTAGCTCTGAAAGAAACCCTACACCCTAAACCCTACACTTTCAGTTACCAACAGTCATTGAGTCATGCTCGCAGCCCTTGACAGCGGGGCGTGGCAAACAATTAGTACTACCAATTGCATAAGAACCCCCTCCCAAAAAAAAAATCCTTATAAGGGCAATGGAAAAATTCATTGTTTTCGTTTTTGGGGGTTCTTAAGCAAATAGTAGATTAGAATGAAGCCGTGAAACCCAACAGGTGTTGAGTGACTGGCTTGAAAACACCTGCGTACTCAACGAATGCACCCGAGAATCCCAAGAACAGAGCACAAAACCAGAACCACAAGCGTCCGAAAGACCAGGACCTCGCAAGACCTGGACTTCGCGCGACCCGACGCCTGTCCAAAATGAACGAGACGACCCTGCGCCGTCAGCACAACGGTGCTATGCCTTAGGCCTGCCACGGCACCTAGACCCGGGAGTAACCTAGGAACAAAAAAGGTTTCCTTTGTGGTTTTAAGGGGATTATAAGGGAGCCCCAACCCTAAAAGAAGGAAAAAAGGTCCTAATCCGGATCCTAGCCCTAAACCCTAAACCCTAAAAAAAAAAAAAAAGGTCCTCCTCCCGGGCCTAGGCACTTACCGACTCCAGGTCGGAGGGCACGTTGCACTGGCCATGGCTGTTGTCCCCGAAGCAGACCTTGGATGGCCCCTTTTACAGCCCTCCTAGGGTTTCGGGTTTAGGGTTTAAGGTTTAGGGTTTAGGGCTTAGGGTGTATGAGGGTCCGAGGTATGATCCTCTTAAACCCAAGAAGGAAAAAGTGTACGTGACATGTGTCCTTCAAGGGCCCACCGAGAGACAAGACGACCATTCTCCTTCAGGACGCATGTATGAGAGCAGCCGGCAGCCACGCCGGTTGCTGGTCCGAGGTTCTTGGGAACGTGACATTGCCCTTGATCTTGCCGTCCTGGGTAGCCCAGTAACTATATTTTAACAAGGGGACCCTTTTTTGGGGTTGGCTTCTTGACAAGGGCACCTTGAACCAACAAACACAAAACTAAACCCAAACCCCCTAAACCCCTAAACCCTGAGAAGGGTACCACTGGGCTACCAAGCGTCCGAAGCACACTACCTGGCCACCCTGGAGCAAGGCGCAGGTATGGTGACTGCCTGCCGCAACCGAAACCACGGGGCCCAAGTCCAAAGGCACATCGCACTGGCCTTCGTGGTTGCCGCCGAAGCAGATGAGTCGGCCCTTCGCCGTCACCGCGCACGTGTGTTCGAACCCTGCAGCCACAAACGTCACAGGACCGAGGTCTTGTGGTACGTCGCACTGGCCTAGACTGTTGTCTCCAAAGCAGACGAGTGATCCGTCGCTTGTCACGACACAAGTGTGATAACCTCCTGCCGCCACGACCGCCGCAGGACCAAGTGCTGCAGGCACGTCACACTGGCCGTCGCTGTTGTCTCCGAAGCACACGACTTCATGCTTCCTTGGTAGCCCAGCAACCATATTCTTATAAGGGTACCCTTTTTGGGTTTGGCTGCTTAAAAAAGGAACCTTGAACCAAAAAAAAGGAAAAGGGTACCACTGGGCTGTCAAGCTTCATGGTCAAGAGACAGGTGTGGAAGAAGCCTGCGGCCAAAGCTTTCGCTGGAGGAAGGCCTTCGGGTACGTCGTGCTCCTCGCAGTTCCTGCCCGTGAGAGTCAAGCGGCCGTCCTTCTGAATGGTAGAAAGCACTTCATCGAAGCCTTCTGCTGCCACTTGCGCAAGTGAGCCGGATCCGAATCTCACCCCTAGGTATTGCAGAACTACGTCCAGCACCGGGGAGGGGAGAAGCCAGCCCTTTTGCAGCAGGTCAAAAACCAGCCAGCAAAAGTGCTGCAAATCTTGACTCGGCACGGATGCCTGTAGCCGCTTCAAAGCGATTAATGCCATGCCTGGGGGCGAAAAGGCACGACTCCTCACTCTCCGTTGACACAGGCAGGACCTTGAGCCCTGGTCCGGACACTGAGCCAATCGCTCCCGACACTTGTGCGCAGACTAAACCCTAAACCCTAAACCCTAAACCCTAAACCCTGAACCCCTTTTTTACGGCTAGGACTGCTGCACTGCCTGCCTGGGACGAAACCCTGAACCCCAAAACCCTAATCCCTAAAGCCTCAAGGCTTGCGCGAGTTCTCTCGGACGGCTTCGGGTCTAGGGCCTACTCACAAGCCAGGGTGCTGCAGCGTTTGGGGCTTCGACTCTCACAGTGATGTAGGCTTTAGGTAGGGTGTAGGGTTTAGGGTTTAGGGTTTAGGGTCTAGGGTCTAGGGTCTAGGGTCTAGGGACGAGGGCCGAGGGTCTAGGGTCTCGGGTCTAGGGTCTAGGGGGGGTCTATTGTCTAGGGTTTAGGGCTCAGGGTTTAGGGCGGAACGGTGCGAACCTAATTGCCAGACGCAGGAGAAGTTCAGGTCCTTCCGCCACGGTTTGGGGACATGAGATTCGCCAGCCTTGGTAGCCATATCATAATAAGGATACCGCTTTTGGGGTTGGTGACTCTATAAAGGGCACCTTGAATCCCAAAAAAAGGCAAAAGGGTACCACAGGTCTACCAAGGCCCTATACCCCAAACCCTAAACCCTAAACCCTAAACCCTGAACCCTGAACCATCAACCCTCAACCCTAGACCCTTAGACCCTAAACCCTAAACCCTAAACCCCAGCTTTGCAGACGCGTCTTACAGCTGAAGCCAAAGGAAAAACCAAAGCGGCCTCAGGCCGATCTGGTTGGGCCAGGAAGCGCCTGAAGACAGCGGCTTAGGGTTTAGGGTTTAGGGTTTAGGGTTTAGGGTTTAGGGTTTAGGGTTTAGGGTGTCTTTTTCTTTTGCGGTGGTGGGGGAGGGGGTGGGCTTTACGGCGACGTTCGGGGTGTAGGGCTTGTTTGGCTTCGTCTTTCTAAGGCAGACAACTGAATCTATAGGGTCTATGGGTTGAGGGTTTAGTGTGGGGGTTAACTAAACCTAAACCCTAAACCCTCCCTAAACCCTAAACCCTAAACCCTAAACCCTGAACCCTAAACCCTAAACCCTAAACCCTAAACCCTAAACCCTAAACCCTAAACCCTAAACCCTAAACCCTAACTAAACCCTAAGCCCTAAACTCAACATGAGGCCAAAGAGCTGCTCCAACCCTAAGCGCTACGACTACTTCCTGGCTTCTAGGGCTTGGAGTTTAGGGTTTAGGGTTTAGGGTTTAGGGTTTGGGGTTTAGGGTTTAGGGTTTAGGGTTTAGGGTTGAGGGTTTGGCGCCTCCAAAATCGGGGAAGGGGGACCCAGAGACAAACACAAACGTAAATGTCCCCACGCAGATGAGCTTCGGATGCTGGGTGCGAAGATGCGGAGTTCCTGCTACCTAAAACCTAACCCTAAACCCTAAACCCTAAACCCTAAACCCTAAACCCTAAACCCTAAACCCTAAACCCTAAACCCTAAACCCTAAACCCTAAACCCTAACCCTAAACCCTAAACCCTAAACCCTAAACCCGAAACCCTAAACCCTAAACCCTAAACCCTAAACCCTAACCCTAAACCCTAACCCTAAACACGAACCCTTAGACCTGCTCCCTCTCCCGCTCTCTCTCCCTTAACCCTAAGCCTTAAGCCCCAAAGCCCTAAACCCTAAACCCTAGTATCTTCGCAAGCGCTTACAATCTTTACAAGACCACAGCTACAGCTTGAGTTCAAGCATGCAAGCAAACGTCAGGTTGTATGACCTGTTTAGGGTTTAGGATTTTGAAGGAATGTCTGGTTTGTGGAAAAGTTATGTCAAATCTTGGGGGATATGAAAAATAGGATGTTTGTAGGATTTTCTCGCCGACTTTATGAAAAAATGTTGCAGTTTTCTGAAAACATTCTGATTTGTTTCAGTTTGTATGCTTCTTTAACGGAAAATGGTACAAAACTGACCAACATCAAAAAAATCAGAAGTCGAGGAACAACATCTATTTTTCCTACAAGAAACGCTTGTTTTTTTCGCAACATCGACGAATATCAGAACGTATTGTTGGTAAAGGAATCAGAATCTAAAAACTCCAAGAGTAACCGAACGAAAAAACATATAAAAGAAAAAAGGTTTGGTCATGTGCTTTCTGTGGCAGCATCCGGGATCAAAACCCCAAAGGGAGCAAAGAAAATGCAATGGCAACCTCCCTCTCAACATGGCCGCGGAAAGCATTCAAAGCTTCTTCCCCCTACTCTACAGGCTCCCGATCCGTAGCTTTGGGGTTAGGGTTTAGGGTTTAGGGGTTTGGGGTTTAGGGTTTAGGATTGAGGGTTTGGGGTTTAGGGCTTTTTGGCCACCCGCCTAGCTCGCACTGCAGGGCAAATCACTCGCTATTGCTGGCAGAAATTGGGAGGACTCCACTTCTCCATCTGGTCCTTTGTTCCAGTTCCCCCCTACCAGTGCAATGTTATAACCACATGAAGAAAATCAGTAAAACCTCACCAGCAAACCCATAGAAGGACAAAACAACACGCTGATTCAGGCAGGGTATAAAGATGGGAAGAAAAGGTCGTCTTCCAACAGAAAAATCTCACCTGTGTCTGTGAAAATGATATGGACTGTCCCCACTGTACCACCAATCCCAACCACCGCTTTATCAGCCATCCGAAAAGATCCCAAACCAAACAAAACACAAGATACACCCGACAAATCCACACTCGAAAGAAACTCCACACAGGTCCAACCCTTGCATCTGTCGTCCTAGGGACGTTGTTCAATGTTGTTATCCTGATGAGTTTTCCCAGGAACCACCGAGGTATACCAACCCAACAAACTAAAGTGTAAGCCAGCTCACATCATCAGTCCAAGTTGCCAAAACTCCATCAGGCACAACGTATTCGTACGCTATGTACACGCAGTGTCGGGTAAGCCACTGCACAGACATTTAAACTCCAGAATGCCCTAGGCTATCGTTTGAAACAACTGCACCTATCAGGGACACAACCCACACCATCTACTTCAACATAGTTAATTTTGTCCAAGTGCTCACCCAAAGAAACTCCGTCAAGCATCCAGTCATGCTCTTTAGGGCAAGATTCAAAGGGCCACGGAGAGGGAGTGTTTTGACACTACTTGACAGCATGCCGCAGTACAGGTACCAAAATTGCACGGGGAGCAGAGTACCAAACCTTCCACTCCCTTGGTTCTCATCCAATACGCATACAGTCAGCATCCCCTTCAGGACTGTTCTTTTGCACCTCCAAACCACCGCTCAACAGACATCCACAACTGCTCTCACAAGCAGAAAGCTAGAAAGCTAAAGACAGGACGACAGATGATCCGCACACGTACAAACCTTGATAAGCCCAGTCCTGCTTTGGCGCTGTTGCCTTAGTGTACGCAGCAGACGCTCACATGAATTAAATGCAGATTGTAAAAGACCTCAGCAAATGTCTAGCTGGACTACCTTATAACTAACGGTTGAATTTTCAAATCTTGAATGCAATGAGTCGTGGATTGTGTGGACCTCACCTACCCTTTCGGCCATCTTCAGGACATCTGCTGCTGAGGGGCTGGACGATGGACTGGACGGCATTCAGGTGAGAAGTAGTGTGGCCATGGTTCTCTTTCATATCCTGCATGACCTTGTCGAAGTGGGTGGTCTCCTTGACTGACACGAGCTTGACATCCGAGACACACGATGTGAGCGTGTCTTGGTGGGTCTTCCCCTGTTGGTTGTTCCAGGGCAATGAGTCTGGCCTTGGCATCTTCCAGGAGTGATTGTGCGTCACCTCCCATCGGGATTTCTTCAGGAGCTTCACGACATCGTCCAACATCCATGTGCTTGCTTCACCTCCAAGACCATCGTTACCAGGCCAACTTTGATGGGAACTTTGTCGATCTTTGCAATGACTGTGTCCATTTTGCTCCAGCATCGATCGAGCTTCTTTTATCCACGGGCAGGCTCTGCTGTGTCTGAACCGTCTGCAAAATCTCGTACGTGCTCTGGTGCAGCCCTTTCTCCAAGACCTGGAAAGCGGGAAGGACAGAAAACCAGCAGACATGAAAGCGGAAACATGGACATGACGGAAATGGGCAGACATAAATGAGCACAGGGGAATGAGCAGAAATGTTTGTGGAAGTGGAAGTGACAGAAATTGAGGGGAACTCAACCGGAAGCGAATGCAAGTGATAGGTGGCATGATGGACCACGCAGCTCATGCAGGGGGAAGCAGCGAAGAAGTCCGGAAGTTTCAGCGGCACTTCGCCAGGGACTTCGCCAGGGAGGAAGCTCAATCGCCATCATGCGGTACACGAACTTAAACTGCCGCATGACATCACAGGCGGTTTCCTCGCCTTCCAGAACACACGCACCCACACAGTAGCAGATCATGTTCCACACGACGTGCGACTTCAATTGCGGACTTTCAAACGTAACCCAGGCCCACTTGCAAGCGTAATGTCTGCAAGTCTGTGGCAGCAACAGCTGCAGCAGTCACGGCCGAAGCAGTTCCCCCGCTCAAACGAAACGGATCCAGCCCGAACTCGAGCATCAAAGACATGAAGCCCCGGAATGTCGCACGAATCGTTGCCTCGTTGCCCACCAATGTCAGCGGTTTAGGGTTTAGGGTTTAGGGTTTAGGGTTCTCAAGGTGACACTCAGGGCATGTCGGCTCAAGGCACGCCTGCCTCATGTCAGAAACAAGAAGAAGGCTAGGCGCTCAATAAGAACCCAAAGAGCCCAATACCCCTGAGTTAAGGAATAGACCTTAAATCATAAGAGCTATCCTAATATGATTTAAGGTGTATTCCTTAAGTCAGGGGTATTGGGCTCTTTGGGAATTTGAGGAACACCACCGAGCCCTAAACGGAAACGCGAAACCTGAGCCTCAACCGAATCATTGTGCACACAGAAATCCACTCCCAGGGCTTTAGGGTTTTGGGAAAAGGGGTTAGCCCCAAGCCCTACACCCTAAACCCTCTCTACCGTATATATATATATATATATATATTTTTTTTTTTACCTTAATTGAATTTCAGAATTGGGCCGCTTGATTTTCAGAAATTGGCCGCTTTGTTTTCAGAAATTGGCCGCTGTATTTTCAGAATTTGACCGCTTTGTTTTCAGAATTTGGCCGCTTTGTTTTCAGAAATTAGGCCTTATTTTCAGAATTTGACCGCTTTGTTTTCAGAACTTGGCCGCTTTATTTTTAGAATTTGGCCGTTTTTGCTTTCTCAATATTATGGGATTCTCTGGGTGGGTGGGTATTGTATCAGAGCCGCAAATAAAGCTCTGCCACAAAACTGCTCGACCCGGAGTGCTAAACCCCAAACCCTATAAACCCTAAACCCTATAAACCCCAAACCCTAAACCCTATAAACCCTAAACCCTAAACCTATAAACTATAAGCCCTAAACCCTAAACCCTAAACCCTAAATCCTAAACCCTGTCAAGCCCGGGCCTGATGCGGTTGAAGCTGTTCGGAACGACCATAAACCGCCCCAGCCCGTTGGAGAGTTGGGAGATGTTTGCCAGCAGGGCCTCGTGGCAGATGATGAGCCCTAAACCCTAAACCCTAAACCCTAAACCCTAAACCCTAAACCCTAAACCCTAAACCCTAAACTCTACATACCCTACACCCTTTTTTCTAAAACCCTAAGCCCCAGGAGTTGAACAAGCTTTGGGTTGAGGCTGTGGCTCTGTAGGCTGTGGATATGTTCTTCGGGCAGAGGATGTTGTAGAGCCTTGGGGTCCGAACCCTAAACCCTACATACCCTAAACCCTGAGCCCCAGGAGTTGAACAAGCTATGGGTTGAGGTCAACCTTCGGGATTCTAAGGGGAATATAGTACCCCAAAATGGCCGAGAGTGGTCCCCTAAACCCTAAACCCTAGACCTTAACCCCTGGAATGGGAGGCCTGCAAGCGGGGAGGCCCCTGTTCTACTGCTAAGTAAGGGGCCTCCAGGCCCTCGACTCAAGACCGCAAACCCTGAAATTTCAAGGTCTGGAGGATTGAGATTTTAGGCTATTTAGGGTTTAGGATTTAGGTGGTTTAGAGCTTAGGGTTATGGCGATGTAGGGTTTAGGGTTTAGAGTCACCTTGCTGGTGGTTGGCCTGGATGAGGCGCTGAACAATCATCACTTCGTGCGCAGGGACCTTCCCATTGCCTAGCACAGGGTCCAGGGCTGAAAAGGGTTCCGGGCTGAAAGGTTTAGGACCTACTCGAGGGGCCTTAATAAGTGGAAGAGGGTGTTGGCCCCTACAAGGGTTGAGCGGGTGAGGGTTTCGGGTTTCAGAGTTTCAGGGTCCCAGTGGTCTCAGCCACTAAAGTGTGCAGATTCGCCACCCTTCGCCTGCGAAAGAAGGTTTGGGGTTTCGGGTTTAGGGTCTTGCAGAAACCCTAAACCCTAAACCCTAAACCCTAAACCCTAAACCCTAAACTCTACACTTTGAAAGCACGAGAGTGTGACCGCCCCTCGCCTGCTTTTGACAGCAGGATCCACATGGTGAGTACCAGCACGCCCCAGGGCAGGGTGTGCGCCACCGCTGACACGACGCCCCTCATGACCTCAGCTTGACCCTAAGCTAGGGTTTAGGGTTTAGGGTTTCGGGTTTAGGGTTTAGGGTTTAGGGTTTAGGGTTTAGGGTTTAGGCTTTAGGCTTTAGGGTTTAGGGTTAAACCCAAAACCCTGAACCCTAAACTCTAAACCCTAAACGGCATACTTGTGCCAGGCACGCTTTGGCACAGGGCTGGCGTGAGCTTACCCCTTGTCAAGAGCAGATGCACATGTACCGAGACCATCTACCTTTCACTTGTGTGCGCGTCTAGGTGTAAACAATATTCTGCATCAAGATTCAGGCCGCCCTAAAGGTTTGCGAGTGTGGGGCGCCAGGGTAGGGGTAGCAGGATATCGCCGAATGCTGGGTCGTTCTTGAAAAACTTGCTTGAGGCGCCGAAACAACGACCTCGCTCGGGTATGGTGTGGTAGTTCAAATAATACGAGTACTGGCATTATCTCAACGTATACTGTTTCGGGTTTAGGGTTTGGGGGAACTTGCTGCGGCGTCCTGTCTACTTCAACCCACTTCCTCCTACGCTCTGCCGAACGGCATGGACAGGCCGCAGCCCTATCAGCGGATCCAAACCCCCCCCCCCCCCCCCCCCCCTTTCACGGAGCTTCAACCCTAAACCCTACACCCTAAACCCCCAGGTGACACTGCAAGCGGGTTTAGGGGGCCAGACCCAGGCATGTTGGCTAAGCTTTCCCTAAACCTTAAACCCTAAACCCTAAACCCTAAACCTTAATCCTGTTCAAGAAGCTGACATCATCTTGGCGCAGCGGAGCTCTCCATCTCTTGCCTGCAAACTTCCCAGTTCCTCGACCGGCCTATAGAAAAGTGTCGCAGCTACCTGATGTTATACCCCTTCATTCAATTTATAATGGCAACCCTAAACCCTAAACTCTAAACCCTAAACCCTAAACCCTAAACCCTAACCCTAAACCCTAAACCCTAAACCCTAAACCCTAAACCCTAAACCCTAAACCCCCACCAAAAAAAAGACCATGCCAGAAACAAGTGCAAGTATGTTTCGGCCCCGCATAGATTGATATGATAAGAGAGCCATGAAACCTTTTGAACCTGGAAGCCTCGAGCCCTACACCCTAAGCCGTGATCATATCGGGTTTAGGGTTCAGGGCTCAGGGCTCAGGGTTCAGGGTTCAGGGTTTAGGGTTTAGGGTTTAGGGTTTAGGGTTTAGGGTTTAGGGACTTGCTTTGTGCGCCAGGCTGTGGAACAACCGACCCACCGAAGCGATTTCACAGGTTTGACGCCCCAAAACCTCCCCGGGGTCCTAGCCTTGATCAGCTTTGCCCCTAAACCCTAAACCCTAAACCCTAAACCCTAAACCCTAAACCCTAAACCCCTAACTACGAGCCTTGATGAGCTTTTCTTGGGCCAGCTTCTCCCAGGCGAGGGCCTTGATGGTTCGGATCGAGAGCAGCGATTCCTGATTTGCGGCTCGATGGCTTGTGAGGTGGCGGCTGTAAAGGGTTTAGGGTTTAGGGTCTTAGGGCTTAGGGTTTTAGGATTTAGGGTTTTAGGGTTTAGGGTTTAAAGGTTGTAGGGTTTTAGGGCTTGCGGGTTGCATGTGCAAGGCTTCTAGCGTGTTTAGGCTTCAGAGGGTTGTAGGGCTTATGGGCTTCGAAGGGTTTTTATGGTTTAGATCGGGCTGGACTTTCAAGCGTTGATGGGGCTCTTGTTTGAGGTTTCTAGGCTCTCTCGTGCTTGGGCTTGCAAGGCTCAAGGGGGTTTAGACTGCGGGTTTAGAGGGAAATCAGCATAGTTGGGCACGGTAGCGAATCCCTCCAGGATGAGAGGTGCCGCCGCGTTCTTGCTAACCAGCAACCCGAGCCCCCCGTGCTACTGGGGGGGCATGTTGTCCAAACCCCGAACTTCCCGAACCCCTTTGCGGAATCCGAAAACCCGAAATCCCTAGACCAAACAGGATGAAAGCCCTGAAGTCAGAACCAGGCCGCCGTAAGCCACTTCAGGCGCGCATCCATGAACACCTGGTACCTCCTGCAGAGCGCAGGAGTTTCAGGGCTTGGGGGGGGGGGGGGGCTGTGGCACAGAAAGGTTTAGGATGGTTTAGGTATAGGATTCGCTTCAGAAAGTCTAAAAATAACGTTGCGCGTTGTCATACTATAGCGGCCATCCCCTCTTAGGTTTACTTCCTGGGATTCCTGCATCGGCCCATGTTCCAGGGTTCGCCGGGTAGTGACGGGAGCCTCATTTGGGGCTTCGGGAGCTTCCTGACTTCCTGCAAGTACGTTTAGGGTTTAGGGTTTAGGGATTAGGGTTTAGGAGTTCATAGAACATGGTCTCCCCTCATGTTGAGTTCCTTTATCGCGACCCAGTGAAGGGTTTGTATGGTTTCCTGCGCCGGGGCCTCGCGTTCACGCCTTGACAAGCTTCTGCGTCCACAGCTCATGAGCTCAACCTCAAGCCCGAAACCCTGAACCGTTAGGGTTTAGGGTTAGGGTTTAGGGTTTAGGGTTTAGGGTTTAGGGTTTAGTGTTTAGGGTTTAGGGTTTAGGGTTTAGGGTTTAGGGTTTAGGGTTTAGGGTTTAGGGTTTAGGGTCCTTGCCGTCTGAGTGGGCTAGGGTACTTGAATGCATCGGGTGCTGCACTAACCGCTCAGCATAACTTTTGGGATCCTCTGTGCTACCCTTTATTAAGCGTTTCCCGGGCAAAAAGGAAGACAAGGTACGGCTGAAGCAATCCCGATCCTAAGCCCTCAACACCCCAATCCCTGCACCCCCAACTACACAAAAAAACCCATCATGAAGATGTGATTTTAACATGCATTCAAAATTGAGGGCTCATCTTTCAAAGCATGTAGAGCAAGGTGACATGGTTCAGGGTTTCGAGAGCAGGGAGGTTTAGGGGCTAGGCTTTGAACGCTGGTCTAAGGGTTGCCAGGATCGTGGCAGCATCAGCTGTGCCTCCAGCAGCCCATGGCGACTTGGGTGCTCAACATCATGAGAAGCATCACCGGCAAGATGTAGCACGCCCCACCCTGAGAAAGGATTCTGAGGATAATCTGCTGCGCAAAAACAACATGCTCAACGTGTTCTAAGCCCTACCGCAGGCTCGAAAGCAGCTTCAACCCCTCAAATCTGTAAAATAATCGCCCTTTCGATGGGGTTTTGGGCTGCTTTTTTTTACATGCTTTGGGGGTCCAGGTATTCCTCTAAATTTTTGACACCCGTTTAGTGCTTTTTGGGTTTTAGTCTTAGGCTTTGGGCTTGTAAGGTTGCCTATTCCTAGACACAGCATGCTACTCTAAACGGCACTGCAACGGTTTAGGGTTTCGGGTTTGGGGTTTAGGGTTTAGGGTCACTGCATGGGAGCTTCTTGAGAACTCGATGCCCTGACTCAGGCTGCAGCCTGTAAAAGAACTCCCTGGCAAGTCCTGGTAACCCTAAACCCTAAATCCTAAACCCTAAACCCCGATACCCCCGGAGAGGAAGTGACGTGATGATCACCAGGTAGGGTCTAGATCTAGAGCTTCCAGCTACCCTCAGTTGGAGGTTTACAGGGTTGTAGTAAGACTTTCGGGGAACCAACGGCCGTGTCTAGAGTGGACTTGCGCTTCGTGCAGGGCGTTGCGGTTGGTGTCCAAGGCTTTGGGGCTTGATACCCTAAACCCTAAACCCTAAACCCTAAACGTTCAGCAACCGTTTCCAAATAAGAACGCAGATCTGCGCACGTACATGGTTTCAGACGTGCGGCGACGGCAGAGAAGCTGATCTGCGAAACCATGATGCCAAGGAGGAAGGTTATGGAAAACGGCGCCACGAACACGCAGAGGCAGTCCTCGGCACCGTCAACGATTCCCGCCTTAAGCCCCTCCTAATCTTGCAAGAGCCGTCGAGCCCCTAAAGCCTAAACCCAAAACCGAATACCCTAAACCCTGGCCCCCTCCCATAAACCCTAAACCCTAAACCCTAAACAAAAAGGAACACTGGAAACAGGCTTCAGCAGAGGCCGAGGGGCTCGAATGAGACCTCCCCAGCAGTCCACGATGTCGACGTTCAGGATCTGCACCTCAGCACAGCGCCCCCCCTTTAGGGTTTAGGGTTTAGGGTTTCGGGTTTAGGGCACAGCGCCCTGAGCCTTAACCTCCTAGAGCTGCACTTCCGTTTGGAGCCAGAATCGCACACATTACTTTTGAATCTTCTCCTGGGCTTTGTGGAAACCAAAAATGAAGATCCTGAAGGAGACCATGGAAAGGGTTGCGCCTGATAGGCTTTAGGGGTGTATTTATATAATATAATATAATATAATATAATATAATATATATATATATATATAGATAGCTATATAGATAGATAGAGATATAGATAGATAGAGGTCAGGTTTACACCGTGGTTGCAGCAGAAACTTTACCTGGCAGGGTACGTAGTGTGTAGTGGCAGTTAACATGCTGAGCTCCCAAGTCTGCAGCTTATACACGACAGTAGTATTGGTGGCCTTTATGGTATTGCGGTCCTTCACGAAAACCTTCAGTAACCGGGTATCTCGTTCAGCCCCAAACCCTAATTCCTTTGCAACCGGCCTTCTGCGACTAGACCTACTCATCAGCTCTCAGTTTGAGTTGGGGTTGCTTCTTGTAAGGGGTCTAAGTAGAAATTTCACCCAAAGTGTTTTGGGGTTCTGGGGCTCCTTTTGAAAAAGTAAGCCCTAAACCCTAAACGGTCGGGGCCAGGGTTCGGGCGTTGTCACCCGTCCACTGCGACTATATCGGAGTTTATGCGTGCACAGTCCTGCTGCAGGCAAAACCCATGCCACCTCCGGCAGAGAAAACGTCCTCTGCCAAGTGAACAAACATACTGAACATACGCAAACATCGTCAAATACACACAGGACAAGGACCCGAAACCCTCACTGAACCCTAAAAGCACTACAAGCCCTAAGCCCTGAACCTAAACTTTGGTTAAAGAGCCTGAAGACCCACACAAGGAGCATCCGCGTTTTCCTTCAAACCCTACACCCCAAACCCTCCAGGATTCTGCAGTCACGACAAGTACCCAAAAAGCTCTACCCACAAGGTTTCGTCGAGGCGCCAAGTTGGGTTTGTTGGACCCCCATGGGTCGGGCTTCTCGTCTCCATCCGCCTGGAGACACCAGCCGGTGAGTGGGTAGTGAGGGTTTAGGGTTTAGGGCTTAGGGTGTAGGGTTAGGGCTCAGAAGGTTGACTGACATGGACCCCGCAAACCCTAGGCACCCCGAAACCCTGAACCTCTGCCAGCCCCAGTTCCCTTAACCCTAGCAATTCCCTAAACCCCCAGGAGCCCTAAACCTTCGAACTGAGGCCGTACCACCAGGTCTGAGGCATTTTTTCATGACGAGGTTCCGACTTCTGTCTGAGGATTTGAGTGAATTGAGGGCTCAAAAGGGGGTAGGGGCATTTTTTCCCCACCCGTTTTGCATGCGTTTACAGGGAAAGGTCAGATGGTAGGGGGGTTTAGGGTTTAGGGTTTAGGGTTTAGGGTTTAGGGTTTAGGGTTTAGGGTTGCCCTCAACTCAGCAAAGCGGATGGAGGGTCGGCCTCCCGGCCTCAGAACGGGTGGAGAAATCTCAACTTGGGGGTTCATGGTACTTACTAACCAATTATAACTGTACTTATAACCCTACTTATAAACTAACAATATGTTTTTTATTTGAATCAACCTCACATGAATGTTTCATAATAAGTACCATGAACCTTCAAGAAGAGCCAGGGGTTCAGGGTTCAGGGTTTGTTCGAGTCCAGATTTGAAAACTTGGGGATTCGGATAAGGGAGCAGTAGTGCAGACTTGGCCAAACACACTAGGACACATCCACTGCTCAAGGAAGCCTGAAAAACTCACATCTTCACAAAGATGATGGTAATAGTTTTTTTTTTTTTTTTTTTTTTTTTGGGGGGGGGGGGGGGTAATCATATACATATATATATATATATAGACATACATTGTTACATGTATATATTATATGTATATATATATATATATGCCCACCCCCCCCCCCCCAACCAGGAACCTAGACTTCATCAAAAACATAAATATACATATGTGTTTTTACATACATAATAATAATCACAACAACAATAGTAACAATAAATGTATACATATTATATACCTAGATATTACATATCCATCTACAACACATATGTCGCACACTTTTGGCGTGGGGCCGGGGCCTTAGGGGGGTTCCTTGTGCAAATCCTTAAACCCTAAACCCTAAACCCTGAACCCTGAACCCTAAACCCTAAACCCTAAACCCTGAAATCCTAAACCCTGACCCTGAAATCCTAGATTGAAGGCTTCGGGTTGGTCCTCTGTGCATTGAATGCTAGGACCCTCCAGACTCGGTCGTTGCCGCTATACTATACCTGGCGAAACAAAATACAGAACATAAACATATACATACATATATATATATATGTATTTATGTATAAAACTAGATATATTCATTCAGAAATATCTATGTAGACTGAAAATGCACAAACATACATGCACACATGTATAGGGTTTATTCTAGTCACCCAGTAGACCGAAACGCATGAAAGCGGCTCCCATAACAGTGCATCGTCTTGCAGAAAGAAGAGCCGTCTCGCGCGATTCCAGCCTCGGGTCAGCGATGCCGGACGCGGCGACACGTGGCATGCGGTACCCGCGAGGTTTAGGGTTTAGGGTTTAGGGTTTAGGGTTTAGGGTCAGGTTTTAAGGTTTCAGTGCTTCGTCTGGGGCCTGAACTCTGGATACGATACATGAATAGCCCGTGGCTAAACCCTAAACCCTAAACCCCAAAGAACAGACAGGCTCAAAGATTTTTCGGTTGGACATAGATGCCTTCCGACATGCGCCCTGTGCTTGACCAAAAGGATGACTCTAGTTCAAAGATCCAGGAAAACCCGGAAAAATAAGAGAGTACACTGTTTAGGGCTCGCGGCGCCTGAAATCTATCACATCGGGGTGTAACCCAACGTCCAGGGTCCACGCAGGAGACCCCCCAGAAACCCGAAACCCTAACCCTAAACCCTAAACCCTAAACCCTAAACCCTAAACCCTAAACCCTAAACCCTCAACGCTAAACCCTAAACCCTAAACCCTAAACCATGCCATCCATGTGTCCGTGCCGCGCTTGCGGGTGTGCGGAGCGCCTTATGGAAGACGATGGACGCCAGGCCTTGCGGACGGGGCGCCCGACCTCACCTTAAGGGTCCGTTTAGGGTTTAGGGTTTAGGGTTTAGGGTTTAGGGTTTAGGGTTTAGGGTTTAGGGTTTAGGATAGTATGTGCTTGGGCACCAACAACCCTATAAACCAGGTACTTGAAGGCCCAAGTCTTCCCCTTGTGGGTACATGGACCCTTAAAGTTGATTCCCAAACTGGGTGTTGCTTTAAAGCCATTTGAAAATTATTTATGAATAGGTTCCCTTAAAAGCGAAAGAAGGGAAATTTAAAATTATCTCAAAGCAATACCCAGAAAGTCTCTGCAACCAAGACCTGGACTCCCAATTCGATCCACAGTAAGAGCAGGCGCCGTCGACCACTAGAAAGGGGGCCTTGAGCCTTTTGGCGCTTCTTTTGAAAGAGGTTTGCCTCTTCAATGGGGTTGATGACGAAACCTGATCCCTACAAAGGGACTGCAGGGCCTGAAGGGCCACTACTCTGGGCATCACCCTAAACCCTAAACCCTAAACCCTAAACCCTAAACCCTAAACCCTAAACCCTAAACCCTAAACCCTAAACCCTAAACCCTAAACCCTGAGCAGGACTGCGAAGCTCTGAACCAGCCCCCGTCATACCCACACCCCCAGGTTGGCTCTTTAAAAGTCCTCTGAAAAAGATTCCGAAATAGGATCGCACGGAGACCAACGCCCAAACCTGCAAAGAAGCACCAGACAGCAAGCCCTAAACCCTAAACCCTAAACCCCAAACCCTAAACTCTAAACCCTAAACCCCAGCCGAAAAAACGAAAAAGCAAAGAGGCCGTCCTGACGCGCAGATCTGGGTGTAGTGGCCGTCCAGTAAGGTGGCGATGATGCTCAGGAAGCGGAAGACCATGGGTGAACCCCACATCCAGACCAAAGTCCTTGTGGCGCGGCAAAGCCGTCAGGCGTGCGAGGCATTAGTGGTGACGGCGGGTCTCAGAGGGCCTTGCCTAACCTGAGCCATACTCAACAGCGCCTTTGACTCCACACCCAAGCCAATGGCACTTGCAAGCACTCACAAACGCTAAACCCCAACACATGACCCTCACAACGACCTCTTTCCAGCACTTTGAGCTTTAAAGTGCCTGTACCTGACTGGTGCGCGCACATAGGAAAAGTAGCTAACAACAGAGCGGAGAGCTCACAGACGATGTCTTGGGGGTCGGGCCTCCCCCACACAGTTTTTCATGGGGACATGCACAGGCCCTGGCTTGGTCTGAAGGAGACTACAAATCACAACCCCAAACCCTAAACCCTAAACCCTAAACCGCAATGTTGGGAGCCTTGCCCAAACGATATCAAAGCCTTTGCCATTGCATGAGTCCATGCGCGTCGTGTCGCAGGGCCATGAACTAACATCCATTGCTACTACTATTCGCTTCAGAACCCCAAATCAATGTTCTTGTAAGGTCTTTTTTTTTTTTGGGGGGGGGGGGGGCCTACGCAAATAATCCTTATTGCCCAAAAAAGGAAGACTGTTATACTTGTGGGGGGTGGGGGTTCTTAAGAAGCAAAGAGTAGATTGCCAGCAAGGTTCGCGACAGTGGCTCCCAGGTAACCTTAGTCTCGATCGCTCGCTCTCTCACTACCCCTCCGTTCTCTCCTGCCATAAAGGTAGCCCACGAACCATATTATAACAAGGGCACCCTTTTTGGGGGATTGTTTACTTTATAAAGGGAACCTAGAAGCGAAAAAAGGTGCAAAAGGGTACCACTGGGCTCCCAAGGCCATAACGGTTTCAGCTTTCCAAAACCACTCACTGCATTCTAAAGTCCTCAAACACATCCCGAGTGCAGCACATCGGCTGTGTGTGAAATTACAGCGGCGAGGTCAGCTACAGCCCGGATCGGGACGGGACGTCGAAAAAACCTAGCCTAACCCGAAACCTGAAAGACAACGAAGCCTTTAAACCCAAACCCTGAAAGGATCACCCCAAACAAGTAAATCCTAAGAGATAAGCCCAAACCGATAAATGGTCCCAGCATCAGCAAGCCAATGGCTTCCAGGCTTTCAGACGGAGACTGTGGCTTCTTCAGGGTTTAGGGTTTCGGGGGGGGGGGGGGGGGGGGGGGGGGGGGGGGGTTCAGAGGTTTGGTCGGGGGGCACTGGCTTACGGTGGCTTACGGCATGTCAAACCCGATAAGCCGAAATCCAAACATCTTTTCCGCTCTCAGCTTCCCTTTTGTGACAGGCTTCTGCAGTGTCGGTTTCCCTGAACCCTAAACCCTATAAACCTTCAACCCCAAACCCTAAACCCAAAAACGCTAACCCCAAATCACTTTTCAAGGACTGAGCGGCTGAGTTCCTCTCCTGGGTGGTCATTGGCCCACCTCAAGAAGTTTAAGGTTTAGGCTTTGGGTTTTGGGTTTAGGGTCTAGGGTTTCGGGTTCCCCTAAGGACCTCAAACCCCTGAAGCTCCAAACCCTGGGGCCAGCCTGACTTTTTGCATCGGGGCATGCGGAGTCGGCGTTTAGGTCTTAGGGTGCTGAGGGCTTAGGGAGTGTTTAGGGTCTAAGGGTAATAAAGGGATTACTATTCTGTTGTGTTTTTTGTGGGGGGTTCTTAAGCAAACAGTAGATTGTGTTAAAGGGTAGTTACATGGGTTGATATGGTTCCTTACCCTCTTTAAAGGGTTCCGAAAAATGGGCCCTTGGGTGCTAAAGAGGCTCCAGATTCTTTGTATCCACTCTAAACCCTAAACCCTAAACCTCAAGGTTTGATGTGTCTTCAAGGTGTCGCGCAGAGGGTTGAGGCTGCTTCGGTGCTGCCTTTTGAGGGCACCGAGTGCTCGTAATTTATAAGGGGTCGGAATAATTGCCAACCGTATTCCTTCAGGGTCCCTATTCTATACTAGAATCACCCCCAAACCCTCTTCTGTTTACAAAGGCCCCCTATATTTCAACTGGCTTGGAGATGCTTTTGTAAACCCAAAATCCTACCCTAAACCCTAAACCCTAAACCCCAAACCCTAAGCCCTAACTCTTGTCCTTGCATCCCCGCCAGTCCAAGGGCGAGTGGCGCGTCCAAGTTCTCAAGCGAGTTGAGAAAGTACTGAAGCCCCACTATGCTGATGACCTTTGGCTTTGGGGGTTTAGGGGTTCAGGGATTCCCTTAACCCTAAACCCTAAACCGAGGTTTCGGGCTTCGGGTTTAGGGCCAGGGTTGGTGTATTCATTATCTTGATTCTCTCTGGGGAGTGCCTTATGAGGCCCCTAAACCCCTGAACCCAGACTCTTGTCCTCATCAGCTGGGGGCAGGAGCTAAACCCTAAACCCTAATTAAACCCCAAACCCTAAACCCTGAACCCTGAACCCAAGACCTCCCTCACAAGCGCGACCTTGCAAGCCAAAGAAATTCCGGAAAAATGCTGGCTGCCGCAGACCGTTTAAATTAAGGTTTAGGGTTTAGGGTTTAGGTAGCTTCTCGAAATTGGGGGTCCCTGTTTTGAGTCCTCATTATGAGGGTGCCCTTGAGAACCTAATTTAGAGAACTACCCAATTAGCGTTTCGTGTCTACAGGGGAGTTCGCCCAAACCTCCGGACGCCCAAACTCGGTGACTTGGAGGTTCAGGGTACTTCAGTTAAATCTGTACTTATAAGCCCCCCAAGTCCCCTAAGTAGGTTATAAGTAGAGGGGTCACTAAACCCTAAACCCTAAACCCTAAACCCCAAACCCCTAAACCCCAAGGGGTTATAGGGGATATAAGTAACCATGAACCTCCAAGGAGGGAGGGCTCCAAGCAACCCTTTCTTGGAGTTCATGGGGCTGAGAGCGCTTTTGCTTCAGGGCTCCCGCGGTCTCAGCCCTAAACCCTAAAACCTAAGCCTACACCCTAAACCCTAAACCCTAAACCCCTCGTTTAAGCAATACTGCAGTTCTAGGCACTCCTCCCGCGATCTCCTCTGTGAAGGTGAGGAGGACCATCGCCATGGAAGCTTTGAAGCCCACGGTCTTGTAGAGCGCCCAGAGAATCCAAGCCTTAGGTAGGTGGGTTTGGGTTTTGGGTTTTGGGTTTTGGGTTTTGGGTTTTGGGTTTTGGGTTTTGGGTTTTGGGTTTTGGGGTTTGGGGTTTGGGGTTTGGGGTTTGGGGTTTGGGGTTTGGGGTTTGGGGTTTGGGGTTTGGGGTTTGGGGTTTGGGGTTCAGGGTTTAGGGCTTCAACCTAGAGTTCCTCCCCGCTCACCCACCCACCCAGCTATGACGCTGTAGATGCTTATGAAGTTCAGTTAAACCCTAAACCCTAAACCCTAAACCCTAAGCCCTAGACCCAAAACCTAAACCCCAGACCCCATAAACCCCCAGCGCAAACAAGGCGCATTCTCCACGCTGCCTGCGCGTTCGACCTCGGCACTGCCCACGGTAATAATTATCCTACAAATTTGACAAAACTAAACCCTAAACCCTAAACCCTAAACCCTAAACCCTAAACCCTCTCTTCTACAAATGCTGAGGCGCTTCATCCTCCCAGTGCTTGCGGAATTTGACATAGGGCGCATATGCATCATCCTCGGCTTGGTTTTAGAAACTCCCCCAAGAAATGGAGACGGTTTAGGGTTTCGCGTTTACGTATTAGGGATTTCTCAAGGGATCAAGACTCTTTCCCCCTTCTACTAACAGTCCTGAAAGGGATTATAGTACCCCAAATATAATCCCGATTAAGGACTGTTAGTATAAGGGTGAACATCCCAAGTTGTACCCCTAAAGGTTTCCCTTAATAAACTCCAAATATGGCCTTTATAAAAAAGGAAACCCTAAACCCTATAAACCCTAAACCCTAAACCCAAAACCCTAAACCCTAAACCCTAAACCCTAAACCCACAACCCAAGGGCACCCCTGAGATGGAGTCCGTTGAATAACAATCCTAAATGTCCCTCTAATGAGGAAGAATATGGGGGGGTTTACGAAAAGAAGGGACTTTAGGGTTTAGGGTTTAGGGTTTAAGGTTTAGGGTTACCCCTCATATAGACCCCAAATAGTAGGGTTCCCTTACAATAAGGACCCCAATAAGGCACCCCTAATTTCGGAAACATCCATATTGTTCTACCTTTTGGGTGGCTCTTAAGCAAGTAAAAGTCATCCTCGGCTTGAAGCAACCGATTGTCGGAAGGGAAATGGCCAAGCTAAGCCCTACAAACCCTCACCAAGGATCCCCAGACTACTATGTGCGTATAAGAACTCTGCAAGAAAAAAGCAAACACACACATACCTCCTTTTCAAGGGCAATATAGGGATTGTTCTCTTTGATTTTGTTGGATGTAGGCTTCCTACAGCCCAAACCTGAGTTGTGCTTTACACCCTTTGAAAATTAGTTATGAATAGGTTCCCTTATAAGGAAAAAAGTGAAGTTAGAAAAATCCCAAAGCCCAACCCAGAAACACCTACCCCAGCTTCTTGAGAAGTTCATCCCCAAGAGCCGCAAAAACTGAACCAAAGGATTTGTGGGGAGAGGGGGGGAGGGGGGGGGGGGTGGGGAATACCCTAAACCCTAAACCCTAAATCCTACATCCTATACTTTCGATAAGCGTGCCTAAATAAATAACAAGGCACCTACCAGGGCTACCACATGGCTATGCAGTCGGACGGAAACAAACAAGCCCAGACCCAAGAGTAACCTGGGTCTGAAAAGGTGCCCTGTTTGGTTAAAAGGGGCTTATCAGGGACCCTACACTTCCGGAACAAATAACAAGGTTCTGGAGGACTCCGGGTCCTAGAAGCTGGGGGTTTAGGGTTTAGGGGTTAGGGTTCAGGGTTTAGGGTTTAGGGTTTAGGCTTATGGTCCTTGCGGGGAGGGCGGCGGGAGGGCTTAGCAGACTGACTCAGTCAGAGTGTTGAACCCAGCAGAAGATTCCCAACGGTCCAAACCAAGCCCCTGATGCCGAAACACCCTAAACTCCAAACCCTAAACCCTACATCCTAAGTCCTTATCCTCCCCTGCCCCGAAAGCCCAGAAAGCTCCATAATCACGATGCCCTAGATCTTGCTTATTAGGTACATTAGACTATGAAAATATATGGGGTTTCCGATTCCCTTTTTGGGGCTCCTTTACAAAGGAATCGAATCTAGTATTTTGGGGTATATTTTGGGGTACCCCTATTTTGGAAAATACCCATATAGCAATGCAGAACATGGGAAAGGCAATAGTATAAGTAGACAGTAACGTTCCTTAACTCAGGGTGTTGCGTGCTCTGTAAACCCCTAGGAGCCGTAGACAACGGTCCTACACCCAACCCGAACCCTTAACCGTTAACCCTAAACCCTAAACCCTGAACCCTAAACCCCTAAAGCCAAAGCAAATGCTGAACGTCGCTGCAGCCGAGCATCCCGCCGGTTGCAGACAATCTCCTAGGTTGAGGGTTTAGGGGTTTATTGGCTTTGTTGCTTAGGGTTTTAGGGTTCAGGGCTAGGGTTTAGGGCTAGGGTGCGGGGTGGGTTTCCCCGTAACTGTGTTTAGGGCTTAGGGGTTTTTGAGCTTGGGGGTGGAAAGCTCGCGCGATGTCTTGGAGATGAGGACAGCGAGATGCCCGAAATGACCGTGGGGATTCCGAGCATTGGGCTTTTCAGGGCTTTCAGGGCTTTTGAGGGCTTTTTTGGGGTTATTTAAGGCTTTTTAGGGCGTTTAGGGGCCTTTAAGGGGCTTTTTGGGAGCTTTTAGGGCGCCTTGAAGTGCCTGTAAACGAAGCTTTTAGGGGCTTTTTGGGGCGTTTTAAGGGTTTTTTAAGGGCTTTTGAAGGCGGCTCCGGGGTTGGGGATCCGAGGGTTGGGGGCTTGGTAGGGTCTAGGGTGTCAGAGGGTGTAGGGCCCAGGGTTTAGGATGTGGGTTTAGGGTTTAGGGTTTAGGGTTTAGGGTCTAGGGTTTAGGGCTTAGGGTTTAGGGTTCAGGGTACGAACTACGAGGTTTAGGGTTCCCCGAAAAGCAGAGCAGAGCTTCATAATTCAGCCTCAGTTGCGTTGTCATCGATCACGGCGTTCCAATTCTTGCCGTATCCTGGGAGGTCAACCGTATGGGTAGGTCCTAATATTACTCCTCATGTGCCCGCAAAGTACGATAAAACGCTACACCCTAAACTCCAAACGGGTACCTGCTTCATGGCTCCACGATCACATACTATGAGAAAAAGCCAACTTCCGTACCCGCAGAAGGGGTTTTGGTGCCCAGGCAACCTCCCAATAATGGACGATGGTGAACAAAGTGCATGCTTCCTAGTCCCTTGGCTTTCTTACTTCTCCAATAATCACGGGAAAAAAGGTTAAACTTTATTATGCCTACGAAATAAGGAACCCGAAATGGCTTAAGCTTCAACTGTGCTTTTTAGTACTGAACGAAACGCAAGTCAAGCTACAACTCCCACAGGAAACGATGGCGCCCAAACCTTACACATCCCTAAGCCCTACCTTATAAGAACCTCAAACCCACTTGTTTAGTGGGCTACCCATAGAATTCTACAAAAGGCTTTTATGCCAAAACAAAATGGGCTTTTGGGTTCTTAAGCTAGCCCTAAACCCTAAACCCTGAAACGGAAACCCTGAAACCCTATAAGCCCTAAATCCAGTCATCCTGCAACGTTCCACCAAGGGTCGCCCCACCAGCTCATCCACCCAGCCCAGGCTGACGTAATTGATGAAGCCCCTCGCGTAGGCCTCTGCCATGTCTTGAACGGGTTTCGGGTTTAGGGCTAGGGTTTAGGGTTTCGGGTTAGGACTGGAAGTGACCCAAGTGTCCCAAGCGACCGAGTGAATGAAGTGTCGCCAGTGATCCAAGTTACGCAGATGTTGTCAGTGTTGACGAAAGTGTGCCACGCGTCCAAGCGACCGCGACCTACAGT